CCCTGGCGATGAAGGAGCCAGGCACCACGTTCTTGGCCTGGAAGACCACTTCGTTCTGAGGCACCCTCATGTGGGCGGCAGCCTCCGAGTGCTGCTGCTGGAACTCCAGGGCGATGCGGTTGACGTTGTTGGCGTGTTGGCAGAGATCATAGCCTGTCTCCAAGGCCTCCATGAAGTTGTCCACCGGGATGTCCAGGTCATAGAGAGTGTTGAGCCACTCAGTCAGATCCTCCTTCATGGCATAAAGGTACTCCTCACTGGACCGGAAGGGCCGAATGCTCTTGGAAGCTGCAGACTGGATGTTGCTCTGGTCAGCCATCTTGCATGTCCTTCCCATGCGTCACTGTGAAAAGATGACACCACCATTGGGAACAGAGAAAGGAAGACAGCCCATTGCTCCTCTCCCTGCACGTCCACCTTGCCAGCCCAGCCCACCCCCTTGCTGTGGCACAGATAAATCCTGCAATGGAAATGCACTGCATCATCGCAATTAAAACTGAAGCTCTCAGCTAGGAGACAACATGATCCCATGGGCAGGGCAGCAGGCTGGAAGTCAGGAGACCTGGGTTGCATTCTTGGTTTTTGTTTCGACCTGCAGCAAGCATGACTTCGGGGATGCTACTTCCCATCCTCTGCTTCAGGTCTCCTCACCCTGCCTACTTTTGTGCTGAGACCACAGGGCCCAATCTAGTACCTAGTTCCCCCAACCCCCTGCCTTTGATTCCAACAGAAACACAAGTACTCAGGATCTTTGTGAATCAAACCCTAAAATCCCATGTTGTTGGGTCACATCATACCCTGAAGACTTCTCTCTCAGCCCCTTCTTTCTGCTCTCATTCCTCCTTCCGCTGGAGATCGGGGAGAGGGGAAGGGATGAGGAAGCATGAAACCCCTGGAGATATCTCCAGCCCTGAATCATCCGATTATATTTCAGGTAAGGGAACAAGGAGCTGTTCACAAGTCACTGACGGTGAAGACACCCCTGCCCCAGGCAGGGCAGTGGTGCATGCGATGGAGTGGAAGCAGGCAGCAGGCATGCTGTGTCATATTACTGGATCCTTTCAGGTGCCTCACAAGCCTCCTCATGCTGCAGCCCTTTGGCCATGATGTCTCACAGCAGGTATTTATTAACCCAGCCTATTAAGCTGCACTCCACATTCAGGGCTTGTGAGTCTAGGGGGCTCCTGACACACTTTGGGTTTTCTGTGGGCCTCACACTTGTGGGAGCCTTGCAGAACCTGCATGTAAGAGACCCACAGAGCTGCCAGGCAAACGCAGGGAGCTTGGATACTGGCCTCAACTCACAGATCCAGTGGTAATCGAGCACCCAGCTGCTCAGGTCATCCAAGGAGGAAAATTTACGACTCCTCCCCCCCCACCCGGACAGCTAAAGCTGAAAAACAATATCCCCTTTCAACCCAGAGACCGGATACATTTACAGTGGAAAACAGGAGAGAGCCAAGAGCCTCACCTGAGCCATCACTCTTCTATCTCCTCGCAGCAGCCCAACGCAGGTGTAACCCCCTGCAGCAGCAGGCACTGCTAGCCAAACAGGGGAAACCAGTCAGGATTTGCCAAGGATCCTACTGGCTCCACCGATCAACCCAGATCTGAGACATGCACAAGTCCTGTCCCCCTCCCCCCGGCAGCTGCACCGTATGGCTGGGCTCCTCCATGGGGTGGGGGGTCTCCAGCTCGGGGTGGGGGCCTGCTCTCTCCTCACCTGCTGGGGGAGCAGCAGCAACACTGGTGTGAGATCCTGGGAGACAGGTGGTACAGAGCACAGCACGCGTGGCAGAGGCAGACAGACCCCTAGGGGCTCAGCGTTTGCTTAAGGCAGGCCTTGCAGACTCACCCTTCACCTTTCTCCGCCAGTTCATTGAGGGCTGGGGGTTTGTTCACACCCCGGTGCTTTCTTTCCTCCCGTCTTCTGCCAAGTCCATGTGCAGAGGAAGCCAGAGGCTCCCCCTTCCCAGTTTGCCGCAGAGTCTCTCTCTTCTAATCTCTTGGCCAGAAAGATCAGCTTGGAGGAGCCCAGTTAAAAAGGGAGGGCTCCAAGGTTAATTCAGGTAGGCTGAACCGCTGAGCATACCCATCCCTGGCTGGCTGTCTCCCTCCGCCACAGCAGTCAGAGGCTGTCTGGAGCACAAGCCTGGTTCTGCCTTCCTGGAAAGGCGCCAGCAGAGTCCAAGCAGAACTGCAAACCCATTCTGTCTCTCTGTCAGGGCTTGCTGAGCCCAGTCAGGCAAAATCCCCAGTGCTGTGGCCAGCCGCCCGGAGGAGCTGGCTTTCTGTTCTTCTTTTGTGGAAGTTTTGTAGTTTCCTATTGCTATGGAAACTCCCCGGCTTCCCCCTACCTCCTCCAGACAGCAGGGGAGAAAAGCCCACTGCACACACAGCCCTGGGCTTCTTTTTCCCCTGCTTTCCTTGGAATTTGGAACCAGCCCAAAAAGGGTTGGGAAGCCATTGATTGCACCAACCATTAAAGAGACAGCGCTTCATTATGTCTTCGGCAACTTGGAGCCTGTTCTTCTTCTCCCCTCCCTCCACAACCTCCTCTTCCTTCCTCGAGTCTTTTCAAATGGACTCATGGTGGTCCCTATTTTTCTTAATCACAAGGATGGCTGAGATGCAGGGACTGGGGAAAGGTTAAGGTTTTTGTCAAGTGGAAGAAATCAGGGGAAACTCATTTTCAACTAGGAATGACCTGTTCAACTAGGAATGATCTTCTAGCCCGACCTGTTGGGGGTCGGGCTAGAAGATCTACTAGGTCCCTTCCGACCCTAAATCTAAATCTAAATCTAAATCTATGAAACTAGTAATAGGCTAAGCACGTTTGGGGACGGATGGGCAGAAATAATGCACGTGGGTCTATAATAGCAAGGTCTGGCAAGTGCGACACAGCCCTATAGCTAGCGTGGGAGGCAGTGTCATCCAGAAGTTGGGGCACCACACCTTGTCTGTAGGATAGGGCTAGTGAGACATCCAGACAACTACTCCATGTAAGCGGCTCCTTTGCCCTCACAGAGAAGGCTTCTGGACTGGTCCCAGTGCTGGCACTTGATCACTTTTCTAAAGCATCTTAAGATCCTCAGGAGAATATAATGGCGAAGGAATCAGTTCCACTTCCCCATCTGCCATTGACTCATAGGTTGGCTTCTGTCTCAGGTTCCCTATCTGTCTCACAGGGATCCTGACAGGCAGATTTGCCAGTGAAAGATGCTGCCGACATACTAATAAGGATCATGAGGATCCATCGTACTAGTAATGCTGCATGCATGTGGTGCAGCAGTGCTCTCTTCCCATTGCACAAGGTCATGGTGCTTTAGGCCATCAGGGGTCCACACTGAACCATACAAACTCTCTGCCACCCTTTGCCTCTTTTAAAGAAGGAAAAAACTTAACTCCTCATTGGAGTCTATGCTCTGTACAAAGCAGAAAGGTTCTTTCATAGGTTGCAGGGGCACCAGCCCTAGACTAGAAGTCTGTTCGTGAGCCATCTCCGCTGTGCACTCAGCAACAGGTCATTCCTTCAGGAGAAGCCCAGTTATTCTCGGAAATGGTAGGGCTTCTCCTTTAAGACCTCAAGTGATCTAATTCTTCCTGCCTGTATTCGGCCAGTATTTGTCAAGGGCTGAGCCATGACCTCATTGTCAGGTTTAAATATTTAAACCACTCAGCAGCTGCTCTTGCTGCACAAAGAAACCCCAAAATGGTTTGTGAGACTAGGCTGTCAGTTCAAAGTAAGCCTCTGCTGGAGTTTGCGCCTGGACATGGGAAGCAGCTTCCTCCAGGAATCAGATCTTTCCAGCTGCTTTCAGGGGGTGCTCAGGGGCCTGGGACCCTTGGGTCTGCTCCCAGGCCTGCGTGGCTCCCTGAGTGGTGGCAGCCGGGTCAGTCAGGGGAACGCTGTCAGAAGGGACTGGCTGTTCTCAGCCACGGCGCCAGGGCCTGATTTCTCAGCAGCATTAAGTGCCAGGTGTGTTCCCAAGGGTTAGTGGGAGCTTGGGTCTGTCAACGCCCCGGACACGCACTCATCCAAATCATGCACCCATGTTTTCAGCCTCTGCTTGAAAGCGAGGCTCCACTCTCTCTTGGAGCCTCAGTTTCCCCATCTTTAAAGGGGTATAATGGCAATCAACCCCTGCCTTTAGGGAGAGCCATGAGCTGTGCAGTTGTTGGGTAGGTGCTCAGGTCTGTTATTGCCTGTCTCACCAGCTCCTCTTGTAAAGGTGACTTGCCCAAGATCAAAGGAGCTATCTGCAGTGGAACCGGGGAATTCAGCACAGGTCCCCCAAGATCCAGCTCAGGATCTATCTAAATCAGCTTTCCTTCCCAGCTGCTCATGCTGCTGGGGGTCCCATCATAACCCATGGGGGATGAGACTACCTGAGAGAGCAATATAATGAAGACGGCTAGGCCCATGGCCCAATGAGCCCCTTGGAGGTGGGCAGGGCACTGGCACCATGAAAAGGAAAGCTCTTGCTAGGCGCCAAAAAGGGCAGTTCTTTGCCTGGCAGTTAATGGGCCCTGCAGAACAAGGAGTTAAAAAACAGGGTTTACTTTCAAACTCAGCGAGCCATGGGCTGGGAGACGCTGCACCCTGCCGGCTGTTATGCAGACACGGCTGAGAACTAATGAGCAATTTCCAGCCTCACTGGCCCAGCTCCGAACTGGCAGTAATAATGACCCAGCCAGGCCTCACCCCGCTTCCATGCCCACAGGCAGAAGGAAGGAATTCTTCACTAGGCAGCAAAGCAACTGCACGTGGCCAGGGGCTGTTTGGATTTGAAAATACACTGGCCTGAGTTATCAGTGGAGATGCAGCCAGTAATAACTGCTGAGGACAACCTCTGCCCAGGACAGAGGGGCTCTGAGTCAGTGTTGCGAGCTTTGCTGATGGGATTGAACCTTGGAATTTAAGGATGCTTTTCTACCAGCACATGCCCCACACTGCAGATCCTGCTAGACTGCGCCCCTGAGGTCAGAGGCCAAGCTCAAACATCAGTGCAACGAGGAGGATTTCCTTTATAACAACATAATTTCCTCCAGGCCCAAGGGGATGGGCTTCCCCACCCTGTCAAACGCAGATGTGAGATGCACATAAGCAGCCTATGAGGTGCAGGAGGCCAGTGCACTAGCTGATGTTTACTGATTTTCTCCCTCCCCCTTTACACCCACATGCCCAGTGTCCTCAGATATTAGTTGCAACCTTTGTAGCAGGTGTGCCCCAAATTAGCCCTGCACCGCCTCCAGTGCCACTCCCAAACCCTTCCCCTGCCAGATCTGCTGCTCTGCTTTCTGCCCCCAGCTATGTGCTCCCTGTATGACCTGCTGCTCTGCTTTTTGCTCCCTTCCCTATCTGCTACTGTGCTGCTTGTCCCCTCCCCAATCTGCCATGTGCTATGCACAGAAGCTGCCTGTTATGATCATAGAGTCTGATTATAGTCGGGTAAAGGAGGGGAAAGGTGTCACCCTCTAGGCAACTCATTGCCACAGGCAGCAGCAGTGTGTTTCAGGTAGAGGTGGTCTGTTCATGTCAAAGTCATGTTGCCAATCCGGCAAGTAGCACATGTAGCCTCCATATTGGAATCAAAGATGGCTGCAGTGAATTCATGCTTTGGTCCATATTTCAGCCCCCGCTAGGGTTAGAAAATTAATTCCAGTGATGAAACTGACACTGTATGAGCCAAGGAGATCAATCGTAACATTCCCGTTGTGGCAGTCATATTGGATTCCAAGACGGCTGCTGCAGATTTACAGTTTTGCTCATTCAATACCCAAAGTGCTTGCAAAATTACTACATCAGTTCTGTTCTGTTTCAGATTACCTTAACATGAAAACCTCCGATGAAGACTGTTGATAAGAGACTTACCCTTACGCAAACGTTACAATGGCACTGATAGCACCAGTGAGTCCAGCAAAGCGTGGGAGGCATGACTCAGTGTCTACAAGATGCATCATATGTCTCAAAGTAGGTTCACAATCAATCACTGGACAAAGTACACTTGCTGAATTGTGCAAATAAATGAGGCACTCTTTCAATATCAGACAGTTGCTGAATTTGACACTTGCTATGGCAGTGTTCTTGACAGACCATCACATTGTGTCGATCCTGTCCTACAACATTTCAAAAGCCTCAGTTGGCACCGTTCTTCCTACAGTGCTGTGAGGGCTAGCTGGTAGTGAGGTAGCCCGGGGGGGGGGGGGGGGGGGGGGGGG